GACAGTCCATACGGGACCCTGAAGTGCTCAAAGTCTTCAAATATGAAAGGTAATTGCAAAAACAGTCTATGTAAATGAAGAAATTCTCTCAAAGTGCAAATAATCCAAAAATTCTTCTTCATTCCAACCAGAAATCACCCATGTGAGTGGCCACCACTGTGTAGGGCAAATTGGAGGCTTACTAGATCACCAGACCCCTTATTACAGGAGGTCAGGTTAGGCTCAATGTGAATAAGGCTCCATCAGGCAGATGGACTATATTGAGACCCACCTCTCCACTCCAACCATTATGGGTTAAACATCAGTATTGGCTCATAAAAGATAATAAAGAGGTGCCTCTCATTGTGTATTATCTCCAGTAATTTTATTAGAACAAGACAAGATTGCACTTACAACAGCGTGAAGTAACAGGCATCATTCGCTATGTTTGGGTGTTCCAAGATGGCAAACAATGCTATGATGTCAGAATGGAGGCTCCACCCGGAGCGTTTTGTCATAAAAAGACATCTTCCGAGGTTAGGAGACAAGAGCCAAGCCTTGATTTGGGATCAACCAATTCATCATTATAATAACAAGATCAAAAATCACTTCCAGGATTAGCAAATGTTAAACAAATGAAGAGCAATGCTAACCAAGCCTCCTTCTGATGGTTAGATATACAATCTCATAAACCGATTGCTAATGTGACCAAAAACTAATAATGAAGATTAACACTGTTTCCACATTGAAGAAGGCTTTCCTATATTTCATCAATTTGGCAGATTAATACATTTAAATGATACTAGTGTATATATTAATTCATGGGATATTCCAAATCGATGGTAATGGACAATTAAACCTTGTATGCACCAAGGTGCCATCTATTGATGACTAATCGCTAAACAAGTGACCTGATAAATGAAAAATAATATAAAAATTACATAAAAAGAAATAACATCAAATACAATATATCAATCTGTATACAATGCCAAAGAAACATGTAATTAAATAAATAAATAATACCAAAGCTGTATAAATCAGCCTATATTCATATTCCCACCTGGGTATAAAACTTGGGTGGAATGGGAGATCATGTATAACAGAAACCTAATATTATAGGGGCATGAGGGAACAGTCAGGCATTATTAATGAAGGCATAAATGTCCCAATCAATGTTTAATCCAAACGGTACATAGCATTTAACACTATGAATCCATTTTGTCTCAAGTTTGGAGATTTCTCTCCTAACAGCACTCCCTCACCAGTGGGAGATGAATTTATCGATTCCCAAAAAGAAAGTTCCCTTGGGATCCTTAATATGTTTCATAGCATAATTTCTAGAGACACTATGTCCTTTAAAGACTCTCTTAATATTCCCTATGTGTTCTCCCAATTGAATTTGTAGGGTATGGGTGGTCCTCCCAATATACTGGAGACCACACAGGCATTGTAAAAGATAAACAACATTAGAGGTAGTACAGGGGATAAAGGGTTTAATAGAATGGTTTCTAGAGGTGGCCGTGGACACAAAAGACGTAACTCTTCTATGTGCACATGTATTAATTTGGCACACTGTGTACCTCTTACATTTATAAAAACCTTTAAATCCTGGAAGAAGTGAGTATGGCAAGGGGGGTCGTAAACATTGGGAGCAACTAAATTATGCAATGGTTGTATCTTATGGAAGATGACTTGTGATTTTACAGGTAATAAGGGTCCCAATATTCTTTAAGTTTATTCTTAAAATTAAATTAATTAAGATAAATATCACTTTTACAACACCAATAGGCCATAAACAATGTAGTGACGAAATAAATGTGAAAGTGCAGCAACCCAAACAATAACCTATCTAACTATATCAGGAGTGCACAGTTCAGGAGTGCATTACACACAGAGTGCAGAGTTCAGGATTGTGCTACGTACAGACTGCAGAGTTCAGGAGTGCGCTACATACAGAGTGCAGAGTTCAGGGGTACACTACACACAGAATGCAAAGTTCAGGGGTACACTACACACAGAATGCAAAGTTCAGAGTTGCGTTACACACAAAGTGGAGAGTTCAGGGGTTTGCTGCATACAAAGTTTAGAGTTCAGAGGTGCGCTACACACAGAGTGAGAAATCATCCCCCTTCTACAGCTGCTTACCTCTGGATCCCCTATCCAAATCTCACTTTTGCTACTTTTCAGCCCTGACCTCTGCACGCAACCCTCCCTCCACCGCCCTCATCTCCTCCCTCCCTCCTCAAAATCTCCACCATCTTCCACGTGTCTTACTTTTGTTGCTGTATTAAGCTGAAGCACCCAGCTGGCTCCAGTACCTCCCCGCACACTACAGGCTGCTTTGCATCTCTTACTTGTAAGAATATCATCTTGGTGCCAGGGGAACAAAATGGAGATCACAGAGGGTGCAGGCTACCATTTGCTTCCTCCTGTGCATGACTGCACTGCACTCTGGGCACCTTCATCTCCCTTGTCCCCGTCCTGCACTCAGTGGGATCTGCTCAGGAGATCTGTGGGAGCTGTTGGGAGACAAGCTATCACTTGTAGACACAGAATCTGGATGTTTGTGTTTACAAGGGATAGTGGGGAGCAGGGACGGACTGTCAACTCATGGGGCCCCTGGGCAATAGGGGATCATGGGGCCCCTGTGTCCTTGCCCACACTCAAAGCACACCCAAAAAAGCCTATAAAAGGTACCAGGTGCATTTCATGGGGCCCCCTACTGACCCCGGGCCCTCGGGCAGTGCTTGAGTGCTCGAATGGTCAGTCCACCCCTGGTGGGGAGTAAGGAGCAGTGGGTTTGAGCCAGAAGTGGTAGAACTGAGTTCCACCTAGTTCCAGCTGAAAAACAGCCCTGAATTTATCACTTAATGAGGTTCTCTGGTGGTGCAGTTCCAGTGTCAGCAACATGTGTAGAAAAAAAAAACAACCTTAATTTATGGAAGCATAGTCTGGACAAAGGGGGGCATACTCATGAATGGACTCTCATGCTGAACCTGCAAACTCACTGGCCACAGTAAGCAGTATCTTGGCAGCACATCTATTTGGACAACTGACACATTTACCTAGATAACAACCTTTTATCTAAATAAGAAAGAGACTGAAAACTTGTGCTATAAGGCAAAAAATTATCAAAATAGGAAGAATTAGTCTGCAAACGTACTTGAAAACCAACAGAAGAAGGCACACACAATCAGCCAATAGGACCTGTGCAATGAGTTTGCTGGTAATTTATAAACTACTTCCCATACATTATCCAACCTATTCTGTACTGAGATACCCAATTTTTAAAAGGTAAATGCAGTGACTTACTGTTTGGTCTTTTTGACCTTAATCTATTCTTACACAGCTACCACTGGAACAATAACAATATCCCTTTTGGAAGATTTTCCTCTATTCCTTTTCTTTCAACAAGGTAAATAACAGGGACTCTCAAGGTTGGCACCCAAGGATATTAATTCAGCACTTGTGTATAAAATATATTTCCATGTATTCGTCACATCATATAAAAGATTCACAAATAATACTCAATACTGTATTATTTTTTGACAAACGACAAAGACTATTTATATTGCTGCCCTATACTATGGGGTTGATTTACTAAAGGCAAATAGACTGTGCACTCTGCAAGAGCAGTTGATCCAGAGCATAGTAAATGAGCAGAAACTTTGCTGACTTCCATCATCCAATCATGTGCAAGCAAAAGTGCTTTGCTTTCAGTTTTCCTTGCACGTGATTGGGTATTCCTTGCTAAGTGAATCTTTATCTCATTTACTTGCAGAGTGCAATTGCACCTTGTATGGTGCACAGTCTGTTTTCCTTTATTAAATCAACCCTTATGTGTCTCATTTCACAGATAGAAAGTTGCAGTCAACGCATTTCACTTCATCAGGACTGGCAGTGAAAGGATTACAAGGCATCCATGCAGTTTCAATGATCTCAATATAGTGGTCACAATCAAATTATGGCGTCATAGGGTTACATCAATTTAAAGCTACTCTCATCTCCACAAAGTAATAGCTAGTGGGTTACTTCTATAAAGGACTAAGAGGTAGAGAGGTCCAGTACTTGTCCTGTTAAAAGGTGGTAATATTGGAGAAGACCTCCTCACTTCCCAAACCACAAGGAAGAAATGAGCCCAAAGATAAATCTTTTTCTGGTAACAGTGTGATATATTTATTATTATTTTTTTTTTGTTTACAAAAGATTTTATTGAATAAAAGTAGATAGTAAAACAACAGCACATTTTCAAATAATATTTACAGCAAAAACAAGGCACTTTTGAAAAGTACAATTCAGAAAAGTATATTATAGTAAGAAAGAGAAGAAACAGAAACAAAGTAGATTGCAAGTACATGAAATACGTTAATGATAAGATAGGTTGAATGATACTTCTGTCAACAGTATATGTCAGTCATTATTCACTGGAAATGTTGTTAATCATGCAATAAATGTCTATAATCCCTCCATGACTCCCATTTCTTATCAAATAAGTGCATCTTATCCAGCAGAGTATAGTGAATGCGTTCCATGAGCATTACAGCATCAATTCTGTGTAGAATGGAGGCCAAAGGTACAGCATTGGACCTCCAGTGTAAGGCAATAGACCATAAAGTGGCAATACACATAGTATGTATCAATCTCATAATGGCATCAGGGACCCCTGGGATATGAGCCCCCAATAGACAGGTCTGTATAGATAAGCGTACTGGGGTACCCGCCAGTGAGGTAGCCACCTCGGATATCCTGCATCAAATCAAAGATATGGACGGGCAATCCCAAAATATATGCACCAAAGTGCCTGTAAGGCCACAGCCCCGAAAACATAGAGGGGACGTTTGTGGGAACAATATATGTTGTCTTGATGGGGTATAATACCATCTAGTTAAAACCTTAAGGGCCGTCTCACGAACAGAAAGAGATCGAGAGCTTTTACATATGTTATCCACCATGGAATCCCAATCCTCATCCGAAAAAGTGGTACCACTATCCTCCTCCCATTTTTGTCGGTATAAAGGAGGTGTATGAAAAAGACAGAGCAAAGATTGGTGATAAAAATTAGAAATATATTATTATTATTATTATTATTATTATTATTATTATTATAAAACAGGATTTATATTGTGCCAACAGTTGTGCAGAGCTGTACAAAATAAAGGGAGACAGTACAGTTCAGCGGCGGACTGACCATTTGGAAACTCGGGCACTGCCCTAGGGCCCAGGATCAGTAGGGGGCCCTATGACATGCCCCTGTACCTTTTTCATAGGCTTTTTTGAGTTTGGGCAAGAACACAGGGGCCCCATGATCCCCTATTGCCCGGGGGCCCCATGAGTTGTCAGTCAGTTACAATACAATTACAAGACAAGAAGGATAATGTCAATTTCCCTGGAGGGGACACAAACAGCAAAAAAAGGTTAACATTAGATACAACGTAATGCTGACTTTCAAGCCTGTTGTTCCTGTTTAAGACCTGGATCATCTGCTGGTGAGACTGTGGTTCCCAGAGTGGAAGGTTGTAGTTCTGGTGTCCACCAGCGGGTGTCTCCCAGCAGATCCTAGTAATTAGTCTTCACCTGATGCTGGCTGCTGGGAGGGTGTTTAAACCCTCCTCTACTAGATCTTGTGCTTCTGTATTTTGCCCTGCTAGCCAGAAACTGCTTGCTAATTGATTCTGAGTCCTGCCTGAGTCTGTTAATGCTTTGTACTTATATTGGCTGCTTTCTCCCCCTTGTTCCTAATCCCAGACTTGGTTGCCCCTTCTAACTTTTCCTTACACTTCCAGGTTTATCCTGCTGATCTGTGTTCTCTGTTTTGTAGATAGTGTACATATTGTATAGCAGTTAGCTTGTCAGGTATTTTGCCACTCGGTTTATGGTTCACTTGTATCTTCACGTTTGCTGTGTTTTCTGTTTGCTGGTGTTTGGATAGATTTTATTTCACTGTAAATAAATCTGATATAAAGCACATATAGTCTGGTTTCAGTTTCCTAAGTGCAGCTACGCCGTTCTGGCCATCCCTGCTGCTGGATGCCTGCATTCTGCATCTCTGACAGTTCTGAATCTAGAGACAGCCAGGTAACTATGATGGTAGAAGGGAACAGAAGGAGATCATCAATTGAAACCCTCTATATTTTTCTCAGAACACGTTTCCTTTCAGCCTCACATTTTGCAGAAACCGGCCTCTTCCGATTGGTTGCTGTGAAGCGAGCATTTGTTGCACAATAGCTCATGAGCTCCATTATTCTTAACCTTATTATTATAATGTCATAATCACAATGAGATTCACTAAAAAATAGTAAATGCTAATGCTTTCTTCTTCATTTGTTTTGCAGCTTTACCTTTCAATAACATTCATGTGCTAGACAAAATCAATAGTTATCGATCGAATAACAATTGATTGCAAAATATATTTCACATTGTTGAAAGGCAGCCTAGCATCGATTGGGTTAAAAGGCAACAATCCATACTTCCATGGGAACGCACACCCATTAGAGAACAGTCTTCTTTTATCCACTTTAATCTGCTGTCTACACTTTACATAGCTGCTTTACCATCACAAGACGGTTTTTCTCCTCTGAAGGAACCCTTCCGTAAACTCTGCAGTAAATATTGCAAAGGAAAAACAAGGGGGAATGGAACGGATTAAAAGCCGGCTCTGGTTATTGGTCTAACAGAGTTGCTTGACCGGTGACCAGAGCAAGCCTTTAATCCATGCTAGAGAAGTCTACTCCAAGATATATTGTATGTTCTCAGTCCTGCTTTATTTAAACCCACATCTGCACAAGACCTGCTGAACTGGGATCAGTTATAGAGGACCTTCCCGCCACCCGCTGCCCTCATACAACGTCCAATAATATGTAACGGGGGGAGGGGGAGAATAAGCAAGTACGTTTACCAATGTTCACGTTTTTCATTTGTATAAGATTTTGTTCTGCTTTTTTGCTGCCCAAGCTTCTGCCTTGCTGTGACGGGAGTGACTTTTGGGGGTGGGGGGACCCCTTTATCATCTTACCAAATTCTTATGTTTAACCACCCTGTGCCTGTTAAGGGGTACAGGGTGTGGATGTGAATGTCTATTGTGTATTGGTGTGTTGTCCTTTGTTCCCGGCCAGGTGGCTGTCCACTGTCCTTTGCCATGTGCTGCATCCCATTGTTCTGTGTCTTGGTTGGGTGGGGGGGGTGTTCCTGTAGCCCTTCCCACTGATGGGCAGGCTGATGATGTATTTCCTGTAGCCCTTCCCACTGATGGGGCGGGCTGATTATGTGTTTCCTGTCCCTGGTTGTGTTTCCCCGCCCTGTATATATATCTTGCGTGTCTGTTAAAATAAAGAAGTTGACTTTCTGTCTTAAGAAGAGTCTGGTGCTGTCTATTTTCCTGCATGATCAGCGGGTGTGGTCCATGGATGGTGTTCGGACAGGGAAGCTGCAGTATAACGGAGATACCGAACTGCGGTCTGGGGTTCCGGTTCCGTTACACCCGCCATGAAGAAAATTTATGCCACTATTCTGTCATACTGAGCAAGATGAAGACCATGACGTTGTGCGCCTCATCTCACGCATGTGCCATACAACACTACATGCATCTGTTGAAGGAAAACATTCTCACGAGATCTCAGGTTTAGTTTCTTTTTACCCAGCAAATGAGTGTAATTTCATACGGTGTGTGCGCGTGAGATGAGAAGCATGCACCAATATCCAATTTCCCCAAAGGCTCTTTATTAAAGTGATACTAAAGTGATTGTAAAGCTACTTTTTTGTTATTAAAATAACAGGGATGTTTTGCTTACCTGCTCTGTGCAATAGTATTGAACAGAAAGACCCCAAAACTCCTCTTCTGGGTTCCTCCACCAGCGCTCCTCCTCTTGGCTTGGTAAGCCAATTGCTATGGGGGCACTTGTGTGGGCTCCATCCCAAGCTGGACTCTGTGCATCTATGGACAAAGTGCAGCTTGGTTCCGTTCCCTCATCACTGGATTTGACTGACAGCAGCAGGAGCCAAAGTTCTCACTTCTCTCAGCCAAGCCCATGAATACAAGAACAGAGAGCAACGCAGAGCTGCCAGTGGGGACAGTGCTGGATTGGTATTGGCGTCAGGTAAGTGTTGGGAGGGGGGCAGCAGAAGGTTTTATACTTTAATTCAGGGCTTAAAATTTCTACTGAGGGCGCATGCGCGCAGCTGGCTTCAGTGACGGATCTGCACTAACCCCGCTCCGTCCTGCCGCCAGCATACATACCGGCACACACAAACCCCGGGAGATTCAAAGAGTACCAGCGTACTCATGAAGGGCATCCGATCCTCCAGCACGATGACCCGGCGTCGCAAAACCCCGGGAATACCGGGAAAACTCACCCACTTCTTCCCTGCAGTGAATGCAGGGATCCAAGATGGCGCCGACGGCGGTACCTCAGGAGCAGACACAGAGGGACAGGAGACAGCACAGACACATAAGGATCCAAGGCTGCAGTATCCCTTATACCCAGGGGACCCTGGTGAGCAATCTCCCCCTCTATCACCCACAACCAGCAGCCCAGCAAAATCTAAGCCTAGGCTAGACTCAGGCCACCAGTCTCCTTGCTCCCAGACCCATATACAAACAGGGGTCCTCATAAACCCTGAGGTGCCTGTGATTGAGGCCTTCCCAGCTACAGACCAACTAACAGAGCTATGCATGAAGAGTATGTTAATGTCACTGCGCCAGACCCTGCATAATGATATGGCATCCTCATTAGCTCAAATTTCCACTGCAATGCACCAGCAACAAAATAGAATACAACATATTGAAACCAATATTAGTGATATAATTTCAGCCCATAATGATCTGATTGACGCTCATACAGAACATTCCACAGAAATTGATCAAATTAAACTGAAACTCGCTGATCTAGAGGACCGCTCGAGGCGGAATAATATCAAATTTAGAGGCATTCCCGAAAACGTCAGTAATGAGGAATTAATACCATATATACACCAATATATGAAAATCGCGATACCCACAATATCTGAAGGAAAATTGGCTATTGACAGAGCACACCGAACTCCCCAAACCCTCCTTTCTACCCGCCTCGGTCCCACGAGATTTCCTAGCTCGAATACATTTTTACCACGTTAAAGAGAGAAAGTCATGATGCAGTCCAGGAGCATGTCTAATCTCCCGCCATCTCATGCTAACCTTCGTCTATATGCAGATCTCTCCAAGCTCACACTGCTTAATTGCAAAAAATTGATCAATATAACTAAAGCCCTAAGAAACCATGGCATAGCGTATCAGTGGGGATTCCCAACAAAATTGACCATAAGACAACATGGCAAAATCCATATAATTAAAAATATGGAAGAAGGCCTAGAACTACTCAAAAGCTGGAAAATAATTCCCGAGGTTTCACAACAATACCAACCAACTCATTCTCAACCTATGGAACAAACTTGAATATTCAAATACACAGCAAACACCAAATCACAACTCCAAACCTAAGTTGTGAATCTATTCCTCAATAATCTGGCATTCGGCCACAGATGAGAAGATTGTTCTTTCATATGTTCTCCAGGTTTGGCCTATGTTCCGGTCTAAACCTGAATAAGTCCTCTAGTTCGGCAGTAGCCGGTCCGGCTACTCAGGTTCCTTGCTTTCCTTGCAAGGCTATTTTTTACCTTTCCACCCCACATCCTCTTTCCTCCTCCATGTCGCCAGTCGAAATACAACAACCTCCAAAGCATAATCAATCGTCGCCTACTAATACAGCTTCAAGAATATATCCTGGATCTATTACGAATACCTTTACAACTTTAAACTTCACACAGTTCAAGATTGACAACCCAAATGACCTACCACCATGATTAACATTACATCTTTAAATGCCCACGGTCTGAACTCTCCATTCAAACGATCGATGCTTCAAAAAGAACTCAAAAAACTTCATCCAGATATCATATTTGTTCAAGAATCCCACTTCGCTACAAATAAGGCCCCCAAGCTTCAACTTACTCACTTTCCACATATTTTTATGGCCACCAACCCCAAAAAAAAGAACGGAATAATTACGGCTATAAAAGACTCTATCCAATTTCGTTTTATCTCAGAATCTGTGGACCCCCTGGGCCGCTTCCACATACTTGTTTGCCAACTTAATGACATTTACTACACCTTAGTGAATGTATACGGTCCTAAAAAAACGCCAGATCAATTTCTTCAACAAAATAATAAAGAACATCAACTGTGTAAAGAAAGGA